TGGGATGTTAAACTAAGGAGGATGATGACTCTATTTATAACAAAAGAAATTCCCCTCTTCCTTATACAAAACCAATGTGGGATTCAAAATTTGCCAAAATACCAACAAATCTCCACATTGGCAAATTCCACACACATCTTTCAAAAATCCAATCTTCAGTAGTGTCTGTAAATTCATCTTTCAATTTGTAACAATATTGACCAAGTCTAAACAATGTTTAAACTTGACTGCAATTACCACTTTTGTCAACATATCAGCAGGATTCTCAGTGGTCCGAATCTTCTGGATTATGACTTCACATTCTTTTAGAATCTCTCGTACAAAGTGATATCGAACATCAATGTGTTTCGTCCTTGCATGGTAAACCTGGTTCTTTGCTAAATGAATAGCACTTTGACTGTCACAGTGCACTTTGATGTGCTTTTGTTACATTCCCAATTTACCAAGCAACCCTTGAAGCTAAATTTCCTCCTTCACAGCCTCTGTAACTGCCATATACTCTGCCTTTGTAGTAGACAAAGACATTGTTGACTGTAAGGTAGACTTCCAACTGACTGGTGTTTTTGCAAATGTAAACACATAACCAGTAATTGATCGACGCTTGTCCAAATCACCTACATAATCTGAATCACAATATCCAACTACACACTGACCATCTTGTTTGTCCTGCTGAAAGACCAAACCAACATCTACAGTGTTCAGAATATACTGCAAAATCCATTTCACAGCTTGCCAATGCTCCTTTCCAGGATCATACATATACCTGCTCATAACTCCAACTGTTTGTGAAATATCGGGTCTTGTACACACCATTGTATACATAAAGCTACCAACAACACTTGCATACGGAACCTTTGACATGTATTCCCGTTCTGCATCATCCTTAGGTGACATGGATGCACCGAGCTTGAAATGAGGAGCAAGAGGTGTACTAAATGGTTTTGACTTCTTATTCATGCCAAAACGTTTTAGTACATTCCTCGGATATTCTTTCTAAGACAAATAAAGCCTCCCCAATTTATTATCCCTTGATATCTCCATGCCTAGAATCTTCTTCGCTTCACCAAGATCTTTCATCTCAAACTCCTTGTTCAATTGAGTCTTTAGTTTCATAATTTCTGTCTAACTCCTAGAAGCTATCAGCATATCATCAACATAAAGAAGAAGATATATATATGATCCATCTGGTAGCTTGCATAAATACACACAATGATCATATTTGCTTCTTGTGTACTTCTGCCCTAACATAAACTGTCAAATCACTTGTACCATTGCCTTGGAGATTGCTTCAATCCGTACATTGATTTTTCTAATTTGCACACCATATCTTCTTTTTGAGCAAATTTGAATCCATCTGGCTGAGTCATGTAGATTTCCTCATCTAAGTCTTCATGTAAAAATGCATTTTTTACATCCATCTGAACTAGTTCCAAATCCAACTACGCTACCAAAGCCAACAAAATTATGATGAAGGAATGCTTTACAACTGAAGAAAATACTTCATTATAATCAACTCCCTCCGTTTGAGCGTAGCCTTTAGCCACCAATCTTGCTTTGTAGCGGATGCTATTCTTGTCAGGAAATCCATCTTTCTTTGCATATACCCACTTGCACCCAATTGCCTTTTTTCCTTTCGGAAGACTAGTTAGTTTCCACGTCTGATTCTTTTGAAGGGATTGTATTTCTTCATTCATGGTGATCCTTCACTTTTTATGTTTTGAACTTTGGACTGCTTCATTAAAAGTGGCAGGAATGTCATCAATTGTAATTGGTGATGCAAAAGATACCATATCAGCATAACGAACAAGTTGTCTAATGGTCCTCTTTCCCTTTCTGAGTGCAATTGATTTATGTTGCTGTAAAGGTTCTTGGGTCTGAACCCCTTCTTCATCTGACTCTTCTTCTACCATAGGAGAGTCAACATCAGTTTCTTTACTGGCTGGGACAATTCTGCTTCCTTTAAACTCCACCTGTTTGGGAGTTTCATCTGTCTGTTCCAATTTTTCTGAAGTCATTTTTCTTAACATGGTAAATTCATCAAAGGTAACATCCCTGCTGAAGATTATTTTCTTTGTTTCTGGACACCAAAGATGATAGCCTTTCACACCAGAGGTGATCCCCATAAAGATCGCCTTCTTTGCTCTTGGATCCAACTTTGACTCCTTAACATGGTAGTATGTAGTGGAACCAAACACATGTAAGGAATCATAATCTGTAGCAGGTTCTCCAAACCATTTATGTAATGGTGTTTTACCAACAATAGCAGTCGATGGTAAGCGCTTGATAAGGTGACAAGCATAGACCAAAGCCTCAGCCCAAAATTCTTTGTCTAACCCAGCATTAGACAACATACACCGAACCTTCTCCACTAATGTCTGGTCCATAAGCTCTGCCTCCCCATTCTATTATAGTGTATATATGACAATGAAGTGTCTGACAATACCTTCTTCTTCACAGACTTTCAGAAATGAATCATTTTTGTACTGTTCATTATTGTCTATACGGAGACGTTTGATTTTTCTGCCTGTTTGAGTCTCCACTATCTTTTTCCATTTAAGGAAAAATCCTAGCACCTCATCCTTTGTCTTCATTGTATACACCCAAACTCTCCGGGAAAAATCATCAACAAAGGTGAAATAATAGTGTGTTGCTCCCAATGAAGTTGTCTTGAAAGTCCCTCATACATCTGAATGAACATAATCCAAAATACCTTTAGTATCATGGATTATTGTTCCAAATTTCACCCTTATCTTATTCCCTTTTATGCAATTCTCACAAAAAGCTAATTTGCAATCCCGAGCACCCTTCATTAATCCTTGATCTATCAGTAATTTCAAGGATTTTTCACCAACATATCCCAAGCGTATATGTCATAACCTGGTTGCTTCTGATTCCTGTTCATCAATAGAAGCTGTCATTGTTGTTTTCCTAACAATTGTACTACCCAGAAAGTAATACACATTGTTTCTTTTCCAGATTCCCTTCATTATCACTAGTGCACCAGAGATAATCCTCATAATCCCATCTTTTTCCCTCATTTCTAAACCTTTTGACTCTAAGGTTCCCACAGAGATGAGATTTCTCATTAAATCTGGTACATAATGGACACCTGTTAAGGTTATGATTGATCCATCCTGATTCCTCAAGCGAATTGAACCAATCCCAAGTCTGTCAAGAGGGGAATTATTTGCTGTATAGAAAATTTCACATTTTAGTTCTTTAAAATCAAAGAACCATTCTCTATTGGGGTCATATGGTGGCTACAAGCTGAATCTAACAGCCATGAACTGGAACAACTGGTTGATGGCGTAACAGCGAATGCAAAATCTGAATCTGCATCATCATACTCGACCACATTTAAATCTAAGACAACCTTTCCTCTTTCAGGTTTACCTTTATTCTTTAGCCTGGGACATTATTTCTTCCAGTGCCCTTTTTTCTCGACAAAAGGCACATTCATCTTTGCTCAATCTGAACTTTGACTTCGATCTCCCTCTCATTCCTTTATTCTGACTCTTCGAACGGCCTCTAACAATAAGAGCTTCTGCTTCAACACTTGTATTTTCTTGTTTGTATTTCTTTCTCAATTCATAACTATACAAGGCAACATTTACTTCACTAAGAGACACATCAACCTTCCCATGAAGTAGAGTAGTTTCAAGATACTCAAACTCATCAGGAAATGATCTCATCAACATCAGAGCCAGATCTTCGTCTTCAAAAGTCACGTCCATATTCATCAGATCAGTCACCAGCTGATTAAAGCTAGTAATGTGATCATTCATAGTGGTACCTGGTACATAAGTTGAAGCGGAACAATCTCTTTTTTATGTAGAGCTTGTTCTGTCCGCTTTTCTTCAAAAATTTCTCCTCCAGTGCCTTCCACAATTTACTTGCAGAAGTTTTCTTAGAAAATGCATACTTCTGCTCTCTAGAAAGACACGATAGAATAATACCACATGCCAATCTATTGACCATCTTCCACTCTTTCTCCTCAACATCATCTGGTTTCTCTCCTTCAATAGCAATGTCTAGACCCTACTGAAATAGGGCATCTAGAACCTCACTTTGCCACATGCCAAAATGAAAAACGCCATAAAAAATCTCCACTGTAAATCTAACATTTGTCACAACATTTCTTGCCAAAATTGAAGATGAAGAAGCTGTTGACGATGATGTGGTTGTTTTTGTGTCATCTGTCATTTCTGCTACAAATTTTATTTAATAGTTGTCAATGCGGAATGTCAATTAGCCTAAGGAAATTTTTTTCTCATGTGGAAGATCAGCCTAAGACGCAACAAAGCATACTAAAATAAACCAAGAGCTCTGGTACCAATTGTTGTGGAATTCGGGTTAATTTCCACCAATAATAACAAATTCACCTTGAAAACTATTATCTAGTTGACTAGTGTGAAAACGATTGTACTAAAAATCACCCCAAGGTAGATTCCCAGGAAAGAGTGGAGGGGTCTAAATGGTCCCTCTTAAAACCCACTCTCCTTAGACAAAACTACCAAGACAAGTAATTTTAATAGAACAATAATGAACAACAAATATACCCGACAATAGAGATTAAATAGATATAAAAGAGAACACCAAAATTTAATGAGGTTAGGCCAAAATTATGCCTACGTCCTCGAACACTACTAAAATAATATTTCACTAATAGAGAAATATTACAAAGAGAGAGAAAGAGTACAAATAGCCTTTAATATAGAAGAATACTTATATTTGTGGGATGCTTAAAACTAAGGAGGAGGAGGACTCTATTTATAACAAAAGAATTTCTCCTCCTCCTTATACAAAACCAATGTGGGATTCAAAATTTGCCAAAAAACCAACACCACATTTGTCTTTGTTTTTCTATATATTAGCATAAAATAGCTTAGAATTATTTAATATCATTGAAGAATGTTGAATTTTGGTTGTAATGGTATTTGAACTGATGGGTTCCTTTTCTGAGCTATCAATGTTTAATTGTTATTCAGTAGAAAATCTACAGTAGCTTGGACTCGAGAGGATGGTAAGAGTCAGCGTTTTGAACGATGCACTATAGAGCATGTACGATGCCGAGAAGAGGGGCAAACGACAGGTCATGATCAGGCCTTCCTCCAAAGTGATCATTAAGTTCCTTTTGGTCATGCAGAAGCATGGTCTGTTGATCTATGATCCCCACTTGTTTTTGTTAAAAATGCCTTTTTTGTTATTTATAGTAGTAAGCTGAAAATCCTGATACTTTTTTCTTTTTTTAATTTTGGCATTACAGGTTATATTGGTGAGTTTGAGTATGTCAATGATCACAGAGCTGGCAAAATTGTGGTTGAACTGAACGGGAGGCTGAACAAGTGTGGTGTGATTAGTCCTCGTTTTGACATTGGAGTCAAAGAGATCGAGGGTTGGAGTTGGACTGTCAGGCTACTTCCTTCCAGACAGGTTACCTTAGAAACTTTCCAATGTTTATTCTACATCTTTTTAAATTTTCATAAGAACAACTAGGGTTTGCTAAAATCTAGAAATTCTTATTAGACAATCAAACAAAATACACTATAATGCGGATACATTGTGCCATTTATGCATCATTATCTTGTTTTGTTTTTCAGTAAACTGAAATGAGATTTCGATGTTATGCCATTTATGTGCATTGTTATTGCAGTTTGGATACATCGTGCTCACAGCATCAGCTGGCATCATGGACCATGAAGAAGCAAGGAGAAAGAATGTTGGAGGGAAAGTGCTCGGTTTCTTCTATTGAGACAAATTTCCTAGACTTTCATTTTTTTATTTCTCTTCATGTAGGACATGATAGTTATCCTCAGCCTATATTGAGTACAAATCTAATTTTGTTTATTGGGGATTTTACTTGTGTTTGGTCATGATGTTTTTTGAGATTATGAGTTGGGTTTTTCCTTCAGTAATAGTTTTCTTGCCTTTGGTGTCAAACTCCAAAGTTTTTGGAAGTCCCTACTCTCTTGTGCTTAAGAGCATGAATATCTTCGATTATGCATATAACGAATCGAACGTTCCGCGAATAGTTAAGTCTTTATTTTACCTAATAAAATCAAATTATAGAGAGAGAGAGAGGTAGTTGAGTTGGGTTGGGTTAAGTGGAGTTTTAGTTTAAAATATCCGGTTGGAATTTGAATTGGATGAGGTTCTACTAAACCCAATTCTTTTAAAGATGCTAAACCCAAATTAGATCGAGTGTAGGTGGAGAATTTCAAATTTTAGGTAAATTTAAGTAGGTTAAAAAATTGATCCGAACCGTTAAAATCCCTCTACCGAACTCATGATCCAAAATTTTAAGTTACCTTTCAAATTAAGCATTCATCCGCTTTAATTTTTTTAAAAAAAATTTAATTTGAAATATTTATTTAAAAAACATAAATATTGAGAGACAAATATTTAATAATAAAATTTATGATTTATAAAGTTTTATCCAATTGAATTTGTTTCAGATTAACTCGTGAGATAAACTAAATCAATCATTGAATTAGTAAAGATATGAAAACAAAATAAAATTTTCAAATTACTTAGGTTTATGCCGGTTATATACTTGAATAACACAAATATTATAAAAAAGATTATAAAGATAGTAAAATTAGTGTATATCAATAGAAATAATGGAGTAAACAGTAGTGTCTAAAAAACACAAGAATACTCCTTAAATGGTAAATAATCAAGAAATCAGATCCTATCTTCCTATTTACTAATATGAACTGTATTTCTTTTTACAAAAAGATCCTATATAAAGCAATGGACAACAGGAGTCGTCTCCACCTTGCCCAGCTTCAGCTCCAAATCTGTTCCCCAAGGCATCAGGCTCAGATCCGAACCCAAATCACTTTCATCTCCGCTCAACTTATCCATCTCCAGCAACAAATCCCGAGTCACCAACGACCCTCCGTTTAAGGCAGCCCTATGTCTCCTCATGTGACCGCCGAGAGCTTGGCCGATGGAGAATTCCAGTCCGCAGATGGAACACTCGTGGGTCTTTGGCTTCTTAGGTGAAACCGGGATCTCCGGAGCATCACCTCCCGTTAGCCTCGGCTTCTTATGGCTTGCTCTGTGACCTCCGAGCGCTTGGAAAGATGAAAACCTTTTGTTACACGTCTTGCATGCAAATACGACCCGCATCCTGGTAATGATCATGCTTGGACGCGTCGGTTTGGCCGACGTTTGATAACAACATCAAGCAATTTGCCATGTCCATGGCATTCATTTCTCCAACTTCTCTGGTTCTCTTCATCTTTAATATAATTTACAAAAATCCGGAGAGACTTACTTTAAGATATGAAAAGAAATACAAGAAAAATGCTTAGGTTGAAAACCCAGGAAAGTAGCTGAGATTTTAGCTGTAGATATCCGGAAAGAAACTTGGAGGAGAGGAATGAGTTAGGGTTTTGTATTTATAGGATAGGAGTTGGCGAGTGTGTGTTACGTGGGAACATTGAATGCCACACGACGGATTTGACCGATGTTTGAGGGTTAAGAAAGTAAAAATTGATGGGTTGTTATCTGTGGGTTTGAGGGGTGGAAATGGAAATTTGTAGCCCCCATCTTGCGTCACCGCGTAGCTGATCACGTTAAGGAAGAGTCGCTTGAGGCAACTCGGTAGGAATCTTCCTAGAGTTCTAGACACTTTTGGAAGTGTTGTGAGTGTTACATCCCATACCCTGACTTTTGGCGTGCGCGTCACGTCCCATGCTTCTAAATTTTAGATTAGATTATTTTATTATTCTCTCATATCTCAATTTTTATTATCTTAAACTCGTATTTTTTTCACATTTTCAATCTTTTGCAATGTTTTTTCAAAGACGCCAAAATAATTTTAATTTTTGGGTTAACTACACGTATATCACTTATGTTTATGTTCTGTCTACATTTGGTCACTAATTTCAAAAAACATAAGATATGTTCACTCTTGTTTTTATTTAATTAAGATGTAATCACCTTTAGTTAATTGTCGTTAACATCAATTAAATAGTTTGATATAATCACACATTTGATCTCTGTTATTTACATATTCTCTCAATTTAGCCATACTTTCAATAAATTAAAATAAATTTAATCCTCCAATCAAATGATTCCACGTGTCACCATTAGATTGAATGATTAACTTTATTTTAATTTAATATATTTATTTCCACCAATCAAAGAGTGACATGTGTCACCCTCTGGTTGAAAGAAAACAAAGGAAAGCAAAATGAGTCAAAAAAGATTCAAACATTGGTCACTTAAGAAACTAAACATGTATCCAACCATTAAGCCCAGGCCATTACTTGGTCTAAAGTAGACGAGGTGTATATATTTTGTATCTTAGTGTATAAATATTTAAATTCAAAATATTTTATATATATTAACTTAATTTTTTATATTAACTTATTAAATATATTTTATTATTTACTTAATTTAAAAATATTTTATTTTTATTTTTATTTTCATTTAAAAATGTTTATTTTATGTTAAAATTTATTTAAAAGTATGACTAAATTAAGAGGATATGTAAATAAGAAGGGTCAAATGTGTGATTATACCAACTATCACATCACATATTCTATTAATTGTTAACAACAATTAACCCATGATGATCTCATCTTAATTAAATAAAAACGAAAGTGACCATATCTTAATTAAATAAAAACAAGAATGGCTATATCTTTTTTTAAACCAGTGAACAAAACACAAACATAAGTGATCATCCATGTAGTTAACCCTTATTTTTTAAAATTGCAATTTTCTCACTCACTCAATTTTGGAAAATTCTCTGCTTGACGAGTATCAATGAGCACCACTAACGATGAGCGCCACTAATTTAATTTATAAAAATTTAAAATTCTAAGGGGCTCAACGTATAATTATAAACTAGTTGCAAATTTAAAGGTAAATTATTTAAAATAAAAGGTAAAATATACCAATGACACCTAACTATTGCCCATTTTTATTTTGACCACTATTTTTGAAATTTTGTCAATCAGGTCACTCAACTATTTAAATCCTTTCAATTAAGCCGCTTATCGTTAATGTTTAACGGAAAAGCTGATGTGGTAGTTAAAATATTAGATATTATGACACATTTGGTCTATGTTACTTATATATTCTATCAATTTGTTCCTAATTTTAATAAATTAAAATAAACTTAACCCTCAAATCAAATGGTGCCAAAGTAGTATGTATTCATCTTATTCTTTCAATTTCTAGGAAAACAAACAAGAAAGAAAAGAAAAGAAAACTTAAAAAAATTTGATTTTGTTTTTGAGAAATTAAAAAAAATTAGATATGAAACGCTTTGATTTCAAAAATATATCTATATTAAGTAAAATAAAAATTTAAACTCTTAAAAATTAATCAAAAATAATGAAATTTTACATATAATGTGATGAATTAGGTAAAAGTAAAGTTGTAATACTAGGATTGCTGAGTAATAAAAAATAAATATTTTTCAACAAACTGTTTAAAAGTAATTATAAAATAAAATAAAAAATCTAATTTAAACTCCTAAAATTATTGAAAGATATAACTTAAACACATTAATTGTTTTGCGTGTATCAATGTAAAATATAGTATTTTAAGCTAAAAAAACGAAGAACATGGAGAAATGCTGGCACATATCATCACAAAACATTGTCATGTTTATTTTACTTTATTATTATAAATAATAAAAGTCGATAGAGAGAAAAGAAAATTGTGCTTGCTGGCATTAAATTTGATTCCTCTCTAATTAACTACTTTGGTATATTTGAGGATTAAATTTATTTTAGTTATTAAAATTAGGACCAAAATGATAGAATATATAAGTAACAATGATTACATGTGTAATTATCCCAAATGTTTTAACTACTATATCAACTTTACCGTTAAATATAAACTGCAAGTGGTTTTATTGAATGCATTTAAATAGTACTTGAGTGACATGATTGAAAAAATTTCAAAAATGATGGTCAAAATAAAAAGGGACAATAGTTAGGTGGACACTAGTATAGTTTACCTTTTTATTTTAAATAATTTACCTTTGAATTTTAAACTAATTTATAATTATATGTTGAGTCCTTCAGAATTTTAACGTTTTATAAATTAATTTATCAGTGTTCATCATTAGTGGTGCCCATCGCCGCTCGTCGAGCGTAGAAGAATCATCCCACAATTTTATTCAAGAATTCCAACAATTTTCTTTTGGAAAGTCTACGCGCACACATATATATGAAATTTCTATAACGCTTGACGAGTATTGATGAGCACCATTAATTTATAAAACTTTAAAATTATAAAGTACTCAACGTGTAATTATAAATTAGTTAAAAATCTAAACATAAATTACTTAAAATAAAATATTAATTACATTATTTTTATAATCTTATTTTAAATAATAATTAGATAAAATATTAACCCATAAATTAA